TATCTAAGGATCACATTCTTTCATTCAAAGGCAAAAGAAATACAATCGGTTCAGTTCAGTTCGAAACGAAGCCATATCAGAATACCTTATGTTTTAAGTATATAGATTTTATCTAATAATGTAGCGAATGTGAGGAGGAGAATGATCGATCTGTAAGTTTCACAGTTATTAAGATTTTTGTTGGGTTTTGGTATCAGAATATTATTAAAGAACTCCCAGTCCAAAGGGTAGTAGCCTAATCTGAAAATGGAGATGCATACGTTGTCTATGAAAGTTTTGGTGTTTGATGGCATATTTTTTGGACGATGTAAAAGTTTTGGTCGTGCCCAGGGCCTTTTTTTATTGGGTAATAATCTAATCAGAAACTTGATTTCTTTAGGGGTGGAACATTTTATTATATTCGAAACGTTAAGATTTGTGGCGAGGGCCGATTGTTTTCCATACAGTATTTGTGATGGGTGTGATTGAGAGTCGAATGTGGTGAGCACGATTGAGAAAAGTGATCTGTTAATATTTGGGCTTCTTCCAAAAGGACGGAATATGTCCATTTATTCAACAGACGCGCGTTTGCCGGGCTTCGTTGGCGATGGGCTTGATAAAGACGACAGGGGCGGCGCCCAGTCGTTGCTGGGGCGACGGCGGGGAGTCAGTCGCCTTCTCCGCCGCCCTCGGGGACCACTCGGCGGCGTCGGAGCGCCCTCTGGAGAGACGCGCGAGGGGGAGGGGCGCGCGCCTCGAATCAATCCCCAGCTCCTCGATGGCTCTGTTTGCCGCCGCAGGGCTCTCGATTTGCCACGACGCTTGCTTCGTTCCGGAGAGGCGATTGAAAGTTTCTTCCGACGTGATTCGCATTGCCAGCGTAGACTGTCAGCCAAGCTTTGCTTTGAAGATTTTTTTCTCTTTCACTTGCAATATTTTTTTCTAGCGTTATTGAGCTTCCCGTTAGGATACCAACGTCCCTGCAGTTCCAGTACTGCCCTTTAACACAGTGTTGCACATGAATATCTCTTCAACCCCTTCATTCCACTGAATTCATAGCGGCTCTGTAAATACACAGCCACCATCGCCCCTTATCGACACTCGGAACCATACAGATCGATGTTGGTTTTGGATGCAGCTAGTGGTTAGTGTGGGAGATAACACAGATCCTTGGGGGAAGCTTGCTTGTATATTTATGGGGTCTCATGCATGATTGTCAGTCCTTAGTGCGAAAGTCCTGTCTGACAGGAAAGTATTTATTGTGTTTAGTTGAAATACGGGCTTGCCTATTGATTGGATCACGTTGTGATCCATAGTACCATTGGCAGTACATTACATCCCCTGTCGCTGACAGACCAAATTTCCCTACTATCCTCTAGTCAAGTCGTGGGAGGTGTCGGGAAGGAAATGTTCATGCATGACGGTTTGGAAAAGCCCCAACCCTATCACTTCTGAGAAAGCTACAACATGTCTACGCGGGAATCGAACCCGCGACCCGCCGGATGGAGCTCCTCTCTGCACCCCTGCCTTAGCTACCTCGGCCAAGAGGCCGACCAATATATTTTCTATTTCCATTTTCCGTTCGACAGCAATCGTGAAATGCACTTCCATTTACATTCACGCTTTCTAGATGATTGTGTGTTATAGACAGGATGTCCTGATGCACATTGACTCGGGAAATTCCATTTTTCTTCCAGACCAGGAAGTCCAGCAAAGCGGATACGAATGTTTGCGTCCTTGCACGTCCGCCAGGATGTTGCTGATAAGTGTTGGTACAAATACCGGGCAAGATGACGCGGGCATCCACATTTGTGTGTGCACTTATATGAATCACTTGCGTGGACGATAACCCCCGCAGGGAATACGTGGTGCGTACTCGATGCCATCAAAAGTAAACGATCCCAATACGAGGCTACATATGCTTCTATGAGTAGTGGTGTGTTTTTACGGTGGGTAAATTGTTAATCTCGCCCACAAACCCTCCTCCTTTTTCCGGGTTTGGGACCGGCAAGGGCATCAGATGAGCTGCTCGATCCTCCAAGCATCCACCCCTGGTGGATTTAAGAATATTAGGGTATTTGAAAGATGTGACATGGAGAAACAAATATCTTAATATAGAAAGCAAAGTAAAAATTAACAGAACTATGGTAAGACCAGTAATAACATATGCAGCAGAAACAAGAGCCGATAATAGAAGAACTAAGACTCCACTTTGAACATCAGAGATGAGAAAATTAAAATCAATACTGAGTGTAACAAGATGGGATAGATTGAAAAACCAAGATATGAGAAATGAATGTGGCATTACAGACATAGTAAAATAGTAGAATGTAAGACATAGTAAAATAGTAAAGAAGAGGAGAATGGAATGAGCAAGTTACCATGTCGGAAAGCAAAAGACTAATTAAGATGTGAGAGATTCAAAACTTGTAGGAAAAGGGTCCCAGACAGACCGAAGAAGAGATGGATCGAGAGTTAGATTTCCACATCTCCTAAATCATCCTAATGGTGAAGTGTGAAGAAAAACATGTGTTAACCTAAATAAAAGGAGAAGATGTATTACACGATCTCAAAGATCTCGTGTATTTCCAGAAACAATCCTATCATAAACACTCTCCAGTCTCTCCAAAATGTATTTGACAAATCGGAAAAGAAATGTCACAGATGAATAGTAGCACTGGAGCTGTGAGAATTAAATATTGAGTGATGTATCTAGAACTGGTTATAATCAAAACAGTTTTCATGGCTAATATTTATTTTTAAAAACATTGATGTTAATAATGGCTTTGTGTCTTGAATTACTTTTCAGCTAAGTAAAATACCATTTTCTTAGTTTTATTCAAATGGATCTAGTTCTCTTTGACACTATTTGAGTAGTGTCTTCTTTGTTAGAGATTTTATGGACCCTCGGGTAGCGCCTTACAACTAGAGTCGACCGTGACTACCCGCTAAATATGACGTTAGTTGTTTACGAATTTTTTATCCACGACCCACTAATTAATCCTGAGGCTTAGAATGAATATTATCTACGCACGATTTATTTACCTACACATTTGCCACCCCTGTCTTTTATCATATATGGTGAAATCTGTAGTTGTATTATCGTATATAAATAAAAGGGAATGTGTGTATGTGTTTCGCACATAAACACAGAAGCTACTCGACAGATTTCGCTGAAATTTGTTACACTTTCTTCTAATTTGTAATAGGGGCCTTAAACAGTGTTTTTAATTAAATAGGACATTTGGGGTCGTTATTGATGAAAATTTATTCGTTTATGATGATTCCAAGACCCCAGAATTCTATGCTATACGCCGCACTATCAATTGTTAAGCGCGTCTTCACTGCAAACAAGTATTCTGCCCCTGATATTGTGATATATCGGCCGGAATTATTACTTGAATCTCGGTCAAGTAAATGAAAAAGCCCATACTTGCGAGGCAGTATTTCATCTATTAGAATTTTTGCACATCGTAGCGTAAAACATGATAAACATTCACGTGGCCAGCGTAATGTGTGATGTGGAATACACTGCAATAGCAAAACATCTCCGGGTCCACTAGATAAAAAATATAGCAATGAATTCTTGGACATTATTCATAGCCAGGTATTTTCGCGCATATGTAATAGAAACGACCGCCATGTGCAAACGATAGAATTTCATATTACTACGGACGAAATTACTAAATCCGCCACTCCTCTCCATCAATCAAAATGAGAATCCAAGAAAAGGTGCGCTTATACAAGTAATAAGAGGCACCGCCCATCAGTTTGTCGTGAATTTATCTCCTCCATTTATTTCCTAAACCCCTAGGAAGAAGTATCCACCTTCTTCTTTCCTCGGCTGAAATATCTTAAGTGACAACATTTGTTGTTTCTGCAGCGACTCTGACCAGGAGGTCCTAGGGATCGAGTCCCGGTGGCGGATATTCAACGTTAGTTACGTCGAATTCAGCCACTGTATGGGAGGATAATTTGAGCAGCCGGCTGCCCTGATCGCTTGCTTTCCTTGATTTCCCCTTACAATTTCAGGCGAATGGCGGTCCTATCCCGAATCAAACGGATTATGGACCTCGCGCAATCTTTTCTTCCTCATCTTTGTACCCCCTCTGCCTCTTACACGTTCACTTACACTTACTTGCATAACTCGACCACACATTTCAGGAGGCCTGCCGGAAGTATAGAACTTGTCCCGGCAGAAGCAATGTCCCAGTGGGGGAGATACCTGGAGAGAACAGAATCCTGAAAGTCGACATGTAGGTCTCACGGTCTCACACCCACACAGATCTTCCGTTCCAGTGTGGGAGAGGCACCGCCACCTCCCGACTGCAACATGCACTACACTCGCGGGTCTAACGAGCAAAATAGTTTTCCTGTCCGGAAACACTAATTACTCACTCACTCTTCTTCTTTCAGCGATAAGGAAAAGTTGTGTAGAGATAAAGCTGGAAATCGCCCGTCAGAATCCCGCGGTCTGCTTTCGCTCAACCTCGCTCCCCAGCTAATCTCATTTCACTTTTCGTTACCTGAAATGGCCTACCCCTTCTCCATTCCATTTTCTACCTTCGGTGTTCCGGAAGGAGCAAAACTTTTCGTTAAGTTTACGTTCGTAAGTAGTTCATGTAGATGTTCTCGCATCATTTCAGAGAAAACCTCGAACACAAATGAGCGTTGCCAAATATTCGAAGTTGTGCATGTTAAGTCAACGAGATAAGAGGAAGCTCGTGATATGTGATTTCATTTTTGTTTCCACAAACATTTAAGCAATGGTTTTCAAAGTTGGCGGTTTTCTAGAAGGACAAATAATGTTTCTTGAAAACAGACAGAAGTGGATAAATTCTAATCGATCAACGTGATTCTTAGGAGACCGCGGGGAATTGTAGAAATCAATCCTCATCCTAAAGAGGAAAACAGAACGAGACGGAATCGGGCTATATTTTTTTGGAGGTAGGAAGACGGCTTAGAGAAAGTTGACTGCGGGATGTCCGGATGCGCTAACGCTGTTCGCTGTCGCTGTGTGCAGGTGTCGGTGCAGCCGCCGCCATGAGCCGGCTCGCCGCCCAGGGGCTGGACAACCCTGGCTTCACGGTGGGCGATGAGGCGCCCGCCGCCGCCGCGGAGGCCTTCGGAAGGCCCTTCGCCCTCGACGACTCGCAGTATGACGAGATCGACCTCACCGACAAGGTAAGCCCCTCTGCCTGGATGAATGAGAATCCGTAATGTGTGTATTATTAGCCTAAAATTACGGTATTAAAAAAAAAACCTACAAAATGTTGCCGATATTTTCTGTTTGAAGTATTTTTTTATCTTCGTCCTCTTCTTTTTTCTTGTATTCTACCTCGTCATGGTATTGTTTCACCCCCTCGTCATGTAGCTCTACCCACGTCTGTTTGCTCGATCCTTCATCTCTCTTTCATAACACAAGCTCACGAAAAAAAGTTGTCAGTTGTCAGTTAATTTAACTCGGGTTTCTCTACGCAATTCGACGCGCTGTATCTGAATCTGATGCTAGAATTCGCCACCACCCTCCATTTTGTTTTAAATAGTACAAAATAACGTAACATTATATTGTTTGTTTTCTGGGTTTATTCTTAGACCTAAAGACTTGACAAATGTTTCTCTATGTATGTCGACGCACTAAATCCAAATATGATGCCAGAATTGTTCCACAGCTCTCCAGTTTCTGTAAATTTTCTGGGATAATTCACATGAAACCCTAGGACACTTTCAAAATTTTCTCAATAATGGCTCCATTTGTTAAACATTTCTTGCAGGAATAGAGTGAACTATTTTTTTAAAGATGACGTATGTCATACTTTTCAAGTCTGGGCAGAACGGTTGAGGAATATTAATTTTAGCAAAAAATCTTACGAATAGTTTAGGCGCTAGTGTTGTTCACATACGTACATCCAGACAGACAAATGTATTTTGAAAATAAACGCTTTTTTCAGTATTAAGGAACTACAAACGTAAATTCTGACTACACGCATTAAAGAAATTGTCCCTACTTACAGAAGCAAAATAATCCCTCTTTTACAGTATAAGGGAACGAGAAAACGAGTTTTCGTCGGAAAACGGCATTGATTGCTGAATCTTTACATAACTTTTTAAATACTCCGTATCTAGGTGTACATATAACAGAAAGTAAAAATTTAAAAGTAGAATAATTTGAAATTTACTAAAAAAACAAGTTGGAAAAAGGCTCCCATGTTATTTATAAAATGAACTTAAATACTGGTAGCGCTCGTGTTAAAATGGATGGTATAATGAGTGGTCAAGGTATTCATTTGTTTTTATTGCTTATAAGCAGATAATATATCAGGTTAATCCTCGAAGAGTAATAGAAACAATGAAGTCTCAAGACAGAATAATGGATAATAAAATAACAGAAAATAGTATAAGCTTAACACGCTTGTGCAAGATTAGGATTAAAAAATAAAATTAAAAAAATAAAGAAAATAAAAGAGTACCTATTGGGAGGGAATATTTTGGACGTTCAAGGGGTAGGTAGTATGTGTTGTATTTGGATTTCATATTGCTTATGTCTGGAATAGTGAAATATATGTGAATGGTTGATTCAAGTAGGAGAGAGGAGCAATGTAAATGTTTGCTGGCATCTTATGAAATCTGAAAGTTCAGAGAGAACGAGGAATATAATTTATTATAATAACTTTGTTAAAAAAACCCTTAACATACGATAGAGACAGCTGGCAACTGACAATGTGTGCTTGACAGACGTGAAGTAGAATCTATTCGATATAAACTATAGATGTCCTGTGCTTGTGTATAGAAATGGCTGGAAACAGGCAAAAATGCATCTGCTGACAAATGTAAATTTCTCCAAGAGTAAAGTAATTGTTTGATTATTTCCCCGTGTGCTTCTATGAAAATAAAATTATCGAGTCCAATAACTGGAAAAAATCAATTATTGATTGTTTAATCCTGTAGTGATCAAGCTGTCCCTGTCTCAATGAAGTGATTTTAATGAAGCAACTCCACTCCAGTAATTCGTTACTGGCAGGCACAGAAACAGACCGGAGACTCGCGCCCTATACTTTTCCCAGAGTCAACTAACGGCAGGTAATTTGCACGACCCCCCCTCCCCTGCAGTGACCGCGAACCCAGTTACGCGAGGACTAATGAAATAAATTATTCGAGCAATCACTGCGGGCGCTATCCATCATTGGCGGGGCAAGGGGCGCAATCGGGCCTAACGACATTGCCAGTGGGCGACGTGCGCCGCCATGCAACATGCACGCCGCGGAATGGAGCGGCGTTTGGGAGCGGGAGGGCAGGTTCCATACACGACCGGATGAGGTCGTAGCGGAACCAAGCTTGTCTGCGGCCTTTAAACGAAAGATTGTAAATTAAGGTTTTGCGACGTGTTGGCTTGCCTGCATTTCGGTATAATTTGAGACAGGAACGATCATTCTTTTGTGACTATTGGGTCACTTGATGCTTGAAATTTGAAGTAATGAAAGAAACGTGCCATCTCTTGTTTCTCCTAAAAAAATCACAAAATCATTATAACATAAATTTAAGAAATGTTGTAGATTATAATAATTGCAAACACAACGGAAAACTGTTTATTTCAGACTTACCGACGTTCTAGCAACAAATTTATGATCAGTAAATTAGTGACAAGTAGGTCAATCATTGTATTAACTGTCTTATTTAAAAATATAGAGTTAAACTATTAGAAATGTATAATATTTCCACGCATTACTGTATTACAACTTATTAAAGCGTTTATGCGTTTAAGAGCGTTTTTTAAAGTAAACAGCATCAAAGTTAATTATCTCTTGAATTTAGGATGTAAATGAAATTAAATTTATTCTGAAGTTCCCAACTTCTACCCATAGTTTGCGCAACAAGCACATTAAACCATGTAATAAATTAAACACTTCAACTAGGGTCCCTACATTTTTTAAATTCAAAGTATTAGTTTATTGTCACTTCTCAATCTTGTTGCTGAATATTACTAGCCAAGGAAATTACGTCTGACTCATACCATGCTCTCGTCAATAAGCAAACGGCAATATTAAGATTTGTAGAAATCCGATTTATTACTGTTGATTTTACACAGATAATAGCGAAAAAACAGCTGCCCGCATGTGTGCAGAGCAGAAAGTGCAAGTCTTGTTGATAGGGAAAAGGGCGTGCCACAAATATGCTGTGTGCGTGCTACTAGGGGAACGCAGGTTATATTTTTTGCCATCCCTGATTTAGGATTTTTGTATGTGCGCATTTATATAGATTTCAATTGTCTGGGGAGTATTTGTTTTCAAGTAAGGATACCACTTTTTTAGCTCAAACGTAAGGATTACACAGTCGGATGTTGGCGGGGTTGAAAGAGCATGTACTATTGAATGGAATATTTTAAAATTAAGTAAAATTTTAATTTGCAGATTATTGGCTACTTAGTTAAGATTAAGTTTTTTTTGCAATCGTTTGTTTACTACAGAAAAAATGTATTTATCAAGTGTCAATTTGTTTTCAAGATAGGTACCGATATTTGTATATTTGAAATGCCACTAATTAGGTTTTGAATTATTTATTTAAATTTGAGTCTGTGCAACTCATGGGAACAATCGTAATAGTAACTACGCCTTTAAGAAATCGCTGAAAATATTAACGTAATGGTGACTTTTATACTTTGACATATACGACGAGTAATACAAACAATATACTTCGTGGAATTTCTGAACTACATGGAATTTGAAGCACACGTTTTGAAATATTGGAGAACGTATATAACACATAAGGCATGCTAAATATTTCAGCCGTACAATCCTGTATGACACTTGGATATTGTGCTGTTGCAAAGGTTCTTAAGTTTAATAACTGCAGTTTAATTACCAAGCGTTCCTAGAGAAACTTACTTGTAGCATCTAAAGAAAACTGTATTTCATCTTTAATTCATTAACTTTATGTATAATTTATGTTATATTGAATCAAAGGAAATATATTTTTATGACAAAACATTCCTTGACCATCATGCAAACAGTAACTTTCATTTCGAGTACACCATCCCTTTTCTTTCCAACAAAATTCCAACATTTTTGACTCTAACATTTCATGATGTAAAACAAATTGCTAAAATTTTCTTTATTTTTATAATCATCTCTATGTATTTTCTTTTAAACCCCATAACAAATTAAAACGATCCAATGGTTTGAGTAGGAGATAGCCAGGGAGCGGTTTTGATGCCTTACGTCTTTCGACATCCGCCACTGTGGGCGCTAGCGTCGCAGAGGCGATAACTTCATCGTTACCGCGCCAGATAGCGCTGGTGTAGCTTCTTTTCCTTAACCCCGCGTAATAAAACACGCAAATTTCGTAGAAAAACGCTAATTTATGATTAAAAAACTTATGAAATGCTGGAGTCGTCTTCTTTTGTTGTAGATTTCAATAGCTTACGTAAATTAAATTACACAATTTTAAATTAAATTAGGCAAAAGACTAAATAGTTCCAATACCTCGATTTACACACCGTATTACGGACCAGTGAGTTGTATACAAACATTTTTCTAAACAATTGGAAATTCACCCTACTAATCATTTTAGTCTTCGGGGGGAAATGTGCACTTGTAAAAATACTTTCGTGTTCTATTCTATCAGGTCTTTATCGTTTTTAAGTAGTTAGGCGGATATGGACTTGTTCCCATAGTTCGATTTTGTGTACATTTTACAAGGAATTGCTTTCCTATTATGTTATTTCCGCCATATGGTCAAGAAGAATACGACTAGTCAATACCTACCATCTTGATAGATTTACAGTTTTTATAGTTTTTTGCGATTGCTGTAATTGTTAACTTGTCTTTCAATTTTTTATTTGCTTCGCTTGTCAGAGGTACAGTACATCAGGATAATTTTGAATGTATATTTGTAAAACTAGCTCTCGGTTTAAACTAAACGTGAGACTCCCCACTCAACGTAGCGTAGAAAAATGATTTCGTATTTTTGTATACCATTGTAAGATAATTTTTTTCGTATACCATTGTATATAAGGGTTTTTGCACAATTTTGTTTGAAGCTCAGCGAGATTTTGCACATCACTTATGTTTATGCCTATAAGGTGCTGACATCTAATTAAGTTAACGATATTAAGTTTCATATGTTGGCATTTCCGATTTCGTTTATTGATTTTTCCATTTTCTATACTGTGATTTTGACTTCGTTCT